TTCCATCTAAAAACAATAAATTAATCAAAATATACATGGAAATTTTGTATATAAATAAATAATGCACGGTTCTAAGAGGTCATTTTCCAACTTTTTCTTTAAAATAATAAATAAAAGAAATCATGTATTTTCTTCCTAAGGTCTTTTTTACTTTGCTCGATTATTACTTACAGTAATTCATATAGGGGATTTTTGCTTTAAAACGCAATAATTTTATAAAATCATTAATAATTAATTAACAATTCTAATTTTTTGAGGAAATGAAAGGAAAATATGGTACTTTTAAACAAAAAAAAAAGAATTCATTTATGTCCATAGTAAAGTCTTTTTTACTTCATTCAATTATTACTATTATTGTATTTTTATTGAAAATGGCATAATAAACAAAATATCAGTGATAATTTTCATTTAATGCATAATTGTTTAAAAGTACCATATTTTTACTTCATTTCCTCAAAAAATTAGAAATGTTCATTAATTTAGGTTTAATATTTTTTAAAAACAAATGAGGGGGCGGCACGATTAAAATTTCGATATCGGCCAAATAAGAACCACAGTATATGTATATAAATGCTGTGATAAATAATGTAGGCATATTATTTCTTAAAAGTATTTTAAAACAAAAATGTATATTGATAATTTAACTGTTTTTTTACGAAAATATGTATGTAAATATTTGTTAAAAAAAACTTTTTTTTTTAATGTAAAGGGTGTTTTCATATAAATGGGACACTCCTATGAAATCTTTATTAGAATATCGAAAAAATTTAAAATCCCGATGCATTGTTCGAAAAGTAATTTTTTTGACAAAAATTCAAAAACAAAAAAGCATCGGTAAATTTAATAAAATAGCATCGGCATTGTTTTTTTTTTTAATGAAACACCCTGTATATTTTTGAAAAACAATTCAATTGGGCTACCACTAGATCAATTCTAAATTTAAAAGAAATTTTGTAAAATTTTGAAGTTAATTGATCAGAAAAAACACGTGTCCCTGAGGGTTTTTTTTAAGATAGGTAATTTATGAAATTGTAAGTGTTATTTTTGCAGATTTTTTTTAATTCAAACATATACCTACAAATTATATATATGTGTATTTGAAATTATAATAAAAAACTCTATCTAAATGTTCAAAAATATACAGGGTGTTTCATTGGAAAAATCAATGTTATATCTACATATCGCTCATTCGAAACAACAGTGACACAACTCAAAAATCAGTTTTTGAGAAAACGCATTTTAAATTTGTTATTACTGTTTTCCATTAACCAAGCCGGGCTAAAAAAATAAAAGCTGGGCTCAAATATTTTGGTTGTTTAGGCATACTCTCTAAAAAATAGTACCTAATAACAAATTTAAAATGCGTTTTCTCAAAAACTGATTTTTGAGTTGTGTCACTGTTGTTTCGAATGAGCGATATGTATTTCATCAATTTTACCGATGTTTTTTTGTTTTTTAATTTTTGTCAAAAATTTTTCATAAAATTATTTTTTCAAACCATGCAAGCTAGATTTTTTAATTTTTTAATTTATTTTCAAATAAAGATTTTAAAGAAGTGTCCCATTTATACGAAAACACCCTGTACATAAATATATTTTTAATGTCAATTAAAATATCAAATACCAATTAAATACATCAATTTTACCAATGCTTTTTTGTTTTTTAATTTTTGTCAAAAAATTTTCATAAAATCACTTTTTTGACCATGCAGATGAATTTTTTATTTTTTTAATAATTATATTAATTTTTAATTTAATATATGTAATACAATATAATAATATTTTCAAATAAAGATTTTAGAGGAGTGTCCCATTTATACGAAAACACACTGTACATACATAGATTTATTTTTAATGGCAATTAAAATATCAAAAAATATCAATATTAAAAATATCAAATACCAATTAAATACATCAATTTTATCAATGCTTTCTTGTTTTTTAATTTTTATCAAAAAAATTACTTATAATAATATGTATGTAAGTGGTACCCTATTTGATATTTTAATTGTGGTATAAATGTATATTTATATATATTATGTATGTCCAGGGTGTTTTCGTATAAAAACTTTATTGAAAGAGAAATTTAAAAATCCAGCTTGCATGGTTTAAAAAGTAATTTTTTTGATAAAAATTATTATTATTATTACTAATAATAATTATAATTATTAATTAACTATCTACCCACTTTATCTAATTATTATTTATAATAATTAATAATAATTATTATTAATTAATTATCTACCCAATTATTATTTAATTATCATTTAAAAGTAAAATTCTATTTTAAAAAAATATGCCTCTATGTATACATTCTATGTATACATACATATGTACATTTTTAATTAAAAATAAATAAATTTCACACGTTTCAGAGGCATATTTTTTTTAAATAGAATTTTACTTTTAAATGATAATTAAATAATAATTGGGTAGATAATTAATTAATAATTATTATTATTAATTATTATAAATAATAATTAGATAAAGTGGGTAGATATATCTAACTATAGTTAGGTAATTAATAATTATTATTAGTAATAATAATTATATAATGAAATAGAATAGAAATTACCTCTCAGAACAGCACTAGGAATTGTAAATAAATAAATAAATTCTTTTGGTTACTTACTTTACTCAATGATGAAATAATAAACCACTAAATTCAGACACAAATAATCCTAGGACAAATAATATTATGACTGCAAATAAAAAATTGTTGTCGTCTCGTTGCTAAGCGACGAGTTTAGTGAAAGGAGGGGTAAGAAGCTAGCGTGGGAGATCGGAATTTCAAACAAATACCCCTTATTTTATCATATTTTCAAGCTTGGAACATTGGTGGGTAGATGGCGACACCTTACGGACACATTTTCTTGTAAATTAATAATAATACGCCTGGCACAGATCTTCCTACCACCTTGCGTCTCTTCACACACTTTACTCAATGCTTCCACACATGTACAAATAATTTCTAACTAAGACTGTTTTATTTTTGTGGGGTTAAAGTAGGGGAAGTGAGAGTCACACGGGAGCATGCATTGAGGCGCATGCCGGTTGGCAATGAGTTTAATAAATACTTTTTAATAAATTGTAAATAATAAATAAAAGCATTTAACAATAATAAACACACAAAATGATAATATTTTAGATTTTATAATGGGATGTTTATAACAGCAAGAATTTGACAACGTCGTATTTCTACCACGATAGCCAAAAGGTTTTTATCATAGACATACTAATATGTAAATGGTTTTTATTATTAACCATTTTGTTTGTTTTCTGTTGTATACCAATTGTTTTGGCATTGTTTTTTTCCATTGTGTTCACGAGATTTTTAGTGGCTTTTACATAATATGCCACTTTTTGCTTTTTATAAAGCCAAACCACAGACATTTATGTAAGCTTAACTTGGGCGATGTAAGCAAATGATTAAGAAAAAATGTATATAACCTACAATTTATTTATTTGACAATTCGTATCATGCTTGGACGTATTAATATGTCTATGGTATGATACCATAGACATATTAATACGTCCAAGTATGATACGAATTGTCAAATAAATAAATTGTAGGTTATATACCATTGGTATCATATATTTTAAATCCCCCACTTATGAACTGACTATGCGCATAAGGTTAAATGGTACGGCAAATCGACAAATTTTCCCTAAAAAAAGGAGAAAAGGTCATCCATACAAAATATAGTGAAAAAGCGGTATATGTGTAGAAGTATGTCAATACATAATTATTTTTGACGAACTTGGAGGTTTTTCCCTAAATTTAGGGGGAAAACTGCTAGACAGTTTTTTAAGGGGGGGGGGAATGCCTGATTTATAGTTGGACGTAGACGTAACGTAGACGCACTGCAAAAAGATCAACTATAGGATTAATGTACCTACTCTTGTTTATAAATAACAATAAATAAACGCAAACGTAAAGGAACTGAAGGGTTGGCCAACTTTGATCTCTTTTACTTCGTTTCTTCCGTCCGACCAATTAAAAGAGATAATTCTGTCTGAGGTTGGCAACACTGATTCTGTGTGCTGTCACTTTTTCTATGCATGTTCCTCCATTGTCTGTTTTGTTTGTGTTGTTTAATTACTAATTTTTAATAGTTTAATCCAGTTTCCGCTCCGTCGATTTATAAATTGAATACTTTTTTACAGTCGATTTCTTACGTCTCCGTTGCGTCTACGTCACGTCTACGCCCAAGTATAAATCAGAGTTTAGGGTTTTTTTGATTGGTATGGATCCCGGAGGGATTATTATATACATTTTAAAAATATTTGATACAAAACTGCCAATTTATAGTTAACTTAATCAGAGGGTTTATATTGTTTATATAATATTGTTGCCGCAATGCTGCGGTATTATACCGCTATAGCAACAGGAACTTAATTTTAATTTAAGCAAGCTTATTATTATTTTTATGATTAATTTTTAATTTAATATAAATTGTGCAAATTGCTAATAACTGCTTACATAAATTGATAGTATTAACAATTTTCGCCTTATTAGATTAATAATATTTATTTGTTTAGTGGTCGCCCTTAATTAATAATAATAACTAATCATTAAAATTTTAGTATAGATTTTCTTTATTTTTTTGTTTGTTTTATGTTGAAATTTAAAAAAAAAATATGAATGTTTTGGTGAGTCCAACTCTGTACAAGTACGTGTTTATTTAATAGTTATCTCTAACTGAAATGAAATCGTATTATAAAGTGAAAAACACCCGAACACATGTAGAATATTTAACTAGATTATTTAAGCAAGAATTTTATTGTTAATGACCTGGATAATTGAAAAATGTAAAAAACATCATTGAAATTGATCTTAGTAAATAACGCAGCGTTGCGATAATATTTGTATTTATCGAGCGATTTTAATAAGAATTCCAAGAAAACCAACATTGCAAAACATTAAATTAATACCTACTTAAATGTATGTATGCTTTACGTGGAAAATACTGAATTGTTATTTAAAATGAATCTACTTACTTTTCCCTCTTTTGAGGGTTATTTCTTTTTGTTTATCATCAGGCACGAGTGTCGTATCTGGCGGGGCTTTAATGCTGCTTCTTTTCTCGAAATTGTTCAGTAAGGGTTTGTTAGCCTCCTGGGTGTTTGTCGTTTCAGCTGGGGTCGTCATTTTGCCGACCAACCAAACGATTCGACAGCCACGCAATTAAATATCACATAAAACAGTAAACGTAAACACCGCGACTGATCTGAGACAAGAAGTTTATGTTCGCCCGTGCACACGTGGTAAAAACTAGAATCAATCAGCTGATTTCTGGTTAATGTGTCGCTCGGTTAGCTTGGTCGTATGTTCTCGACTTCTTGTATTTTTGGCTTTGTTTGACGCCTGGATGGACCATTAAATGGTTGCTTCCGTTACTCGTTCGATTCTTTATTTGTTATTTATGATTCTATTTTTTTTAAACACGCACCAACAATTTCATTCTGGCTATTACTAAAAGTGTGCAGCTGCTTTTGTAATTCCGTTTTTATGCAAGTAAGCCACACGAAGGCCACATTTACACTTTTTTCCGACGAATCGGTCTGTACGTTCAAACGTTTATTAGCTACACTGCACAGCACAGTATCGAACGAAAATTAGTAGTCTGTAACATACGTAAGTACTTACTAGTCACTCTCTTATCTATCACTGTAATAAAAACATTGATTTTCACGTATTCAAGCAGAAATTGAAAGTAAAAATTGTCGTAATATAATTAATATCCGACTTAATCTAGATTTAATAGAAATCCAGTATGGCTTGGCTTATCCTTATCGACAATTTTCTAAAAATCAGATTTTTTTTGCGAGTACCTACCTACTTAAATGATCACTTTTAGATAATTGTTAATAAAGTGAAGCCTAACTGAATTTAAATTACTATTATGACTATATTGTCCAGTAACACATTTTTGATGGATTTCAATGAAAAAATTATGGTTTTAATAAACAAGCAAATTAACTATTCTAATGGATTTGTTTATTTTGCTTTCATGTTAACCCCTCATTTGAAAATATCTTAATTAAGAATGACTGAAGCACAAGTGAATATTTGTTGTTTCAATTATGGTTAATTACCATTTTGATGGACTTCCTTGGAATTATTCAATAATTCAAGCTTGTGTTAATTATGCATTTCCCATGCTGGCTAATTAAAGAAAATGGTTGGGAGATAAGGACTTGGTGTATTATTTGATTAGTGGATATAAAGCTACATTAATTACAAAATATACAATTTATTAAGTCAAAATAGGTTTAACATTTTTTAAATATTAAATTTAACAACATAAATTATTAAGACAAAACAGAACAATATATATGAATATTGAACACAAACGTTTGTGGTAAAATTGATCAACACTCCATAAATTAATTTTTGTACTGTTTCAAATGCAAAATATTGGCACATTTAATTTATAAAATTGCTAGTACAAAAATACAGAATGTTTGGATTGAAATAATTGTCTTTCTTGTGGTATGGTTGTTTACAAAACGTTAATTTTAATCAGATTTTTTTGTACCCTTTGATTTCCATGCTGAAACTAAGTTCCATGCAAAATGCATTGAAAACAGATGCACTTGCAAAGCTAACAGTATAAATGTGTACCAAAGAAGCCCATATGGATATCCCTAAAAGCAGATTAGTTGATTAGTAAGTAATAACACAATAAAACCATGACTCACCCTCCAAAACTCAACTTCTTCTAATTCTTCTTCCTCATCATATGTAAGGTAAGTCCAAACATCAGAAAAGTAATAAATAGTTGCATAAAGTATAGGAAGAAAACCAAATAAGACCAAACCAACCATGTAATTTCTCATAGGAGTTACTTTATTTTTTTTTATGGCATCCAGTCCCAGAAATGAAAGTAATAGGCTTATGCACCATATGTATTCCCACCATAATGGCTAAAAAACATAATTATCAATTAAAACATCAAAAAAATCGTCTAACATGCATATCTACCTGAGGAATGCTAAGTTCTTCAATTTCTAAAATAAATATATCTAGTTTATCTAATATATCGGCAGACAGCTTTGCTAGCATTGCAAAGAAGAGTAAGTAATGAAAAAATATACAATATTTTAGTCTGGATTTATTTAAAGCACTGAAACAATTGTTCATTAGTTTTTATTCTATACCTACCTACCTACTTTCAAACATTCATTGGCAAAAATTCAAAATACTTGGCATAGGGCAATAAATATATTAAAGGTTAGAAAATTTACCTTAGTTGATAGTGGGTTGCAACACGTTGTCTAAATGCGTGATCCAAACCATCAGTACCTTGCGGGGTGTAATGTAACCCCTTTGAAGCCATTTTCACTTAGTTTTCATCTAACTTTTTTAAAACTAATTATAACATTTCCCCTTTTTGACATCCATGGAAACGTCAACGAAAGTGATTTTAGTTTTAAAACATTGCCACCAACCTAGTTTCACCTAATACGTGTCAACGTTGAGAATTTAATATCTATTAAGACAATCAGAGATAAAGACGTCAATAATTAAAATAAACATGTGTGCTATATTAGAACAAACAAATAAGTTTTTGTATAAAACATTTTAATTATGTATTTATTATTTAAATTTATGCAACCCCATTAAAAGCCGATGTGACGGTGGTTGCATAGAGTTGCATTTAATTTTTTATATTTTTGTTGCGTTGTCAGCACTGATTATTGGCATTAATCGTCTTCTTCTTCGTAAACGTCAGTTGTGACATATCTAACTTTGACATTTATATATTTTCTAACATGTTTGTAAATTCACATATTTAAATCACTACACACTGTTAATTTTTGGATATACAGTAATTCTGTGGTTAAAAATAAGGTAATAAACAATAAATAAACATCTGAATTATTTTTTATGTACCTAACAATAAACTTTTCCTTCAATATTTATTTATATTTAAGGTGTAAAAATGGCTGTAACCGCAAAAGAAATTTGTGATAATATAACGTTAGCAAGGGAGATGTCACTATTGGGAAATTATGAAAGTGCTGAAGTGTATTATGAAGGCCTATTGCAAATGATAACAAAGCTTATTAGTATGATACCAGAGCCAGTTCGTAAAAACAAATGGCAGCAGGTGTGTAGTTTTCTATATAATTAAGTTGAAATTAAATGTTTTTTGTAGGTTCAAAAAATTGTTGTGACTGAATATGAACATGTTAAAGTGATGAAGGCAATATGGCATACATTGAGATTGGACATAAATGTTGATATACCAATTGGAGCTAGAAGGAATATAATGAGAGATGAACCTGTAAAAGATAATAATATAGATTATTTAAGTGCCTTGGATCCTTTTGCGCCATCTGATCCTGATGTGTGGCCACCACCTACGCCTGTTGATCATGGTTATAAGTAAGTGTGATTGTGTGGTTTAAATTTTGATTATTAATAAATTATTTTTAACTATAGAACCAATGGGCCAAAATCGCGACAATCAAATATTCGAGGAAAACCAGATGCAACAAGAAGGAGTATACCTTCCAGAGCCAGCTCATCAAATACAGCCCGAAAATCTGAAACAGCAAGAACAAAGCCATTAAAAAAAGGGGAAATTGAGAGGCCCGGGTCATCCAGACTAGATCAACAAAAGTATTCAAATGTTGACACAAATACTAAAACTGATAAAGATAATAAAGATACAGAAAATGTAGGTGAGAAAGGCGAAGAGGAAGAGAAGAAATTCGAATGCCATGGTTTGGAGAGGGATTTGGCAGATGTTCTGGAGCGAGATATTGTTCAGAAAAATCCAAACATCAGATGGGATGACATTGCTGACTTGCATGAGGCCAAAAGATTGTTGGAAGAAGCTGTTGTGCTGCCTATGTGGATGCCAGAGTTTTTTACAGGTATATTGCATATTTATACATTATATAATGTTTAATAATGTTTGGTTTTAAAGGTATTAGAAGACCATGGAAGGGAGTTTTGATGGTTGGGCCTCCTGGCACTGGAAAAACAATGCTGGCAAAGGCGGTGGCTACAGAATGTGAAACAACGTTTTTCAACGTGTCTTCATCTACACTGACATCGAAATATAGAGGAGAATCTGAGAAAATGGTTAGACTATTATTCGAAATGGCTCGATTCTATGCTCCAAGCACCATTTTTATCGACGAAATCGACTCGTTGTGCTCTCGCAGAGGGTCCGAATCGGAACATGAAGCGTCTAGAAGAGTAAAATCTGAATTGCTGGTACAAATGGACGGTATAACGGTGAATAACGATGAGCCTGGTAAAGTTGTGATGGTACTGGCAGCCACAAACTTTCCCTGGGACATTGACGAGGCTCTCAGAAGACGGTTGGAGAAAAGAATTTACATTCCATTGCCAACAGAAGAGGGCAGAGAGGCTCTGCTCAAAATTAATCTGAGACAAGTGAAGCTCGATCCAAATGTTGATTTAAAAGACATTGCTAAGCAGTTGGATGGCTTTTCAGGTGCCGATATCACAAATGTTTGCAGAGATGCTTCCATGATGTCTATGAGAAGAAAAATTTTTGGACTTCGGCCTGATCAAATTAAGCAACTGCCTAAGGAGGAACTGGATTTGCCAGTTACCAACATGGACTTTCAAGAAGCCCTATTGAAAAACAACAAAAGCGTTTCCCAGGAGGATTTGGACAAATACGAAAAATGGATGAGTGAATTTGGATCCTCCTAGTCTTAATCGATTCAGCAATTAACTTGACTACCCACTTTTGTTTTATTTATTTCTATTTAAACAAAAGTATATTTGTAATTATTAACCAAAAAATTTAATTCTATTAATTTTTTACTAAACACTTTTTATTGTATTAATTTTATTTATTATATTGTACTGTCCAAGAATCTATTAAATTGGATGAAATCATGTACAAAATGTATAAAATTGAATTTTAATAAAGTCTGTTACCTTTAATAAATCGTGCCTTTATTTTTTAATAAATAAATTTGAATATAGAGGGCTCTGTTAAATTTGAAAAATTAATTATAAAATTTAAATGTTTGTATTTGTTTATTATTAAGTAAGCAAGTTATTAAAACATGTGTGTTTAATCTTATCTAATAAACATAAGTTACGTAGGTATGTATGTACTGATGAAATTTTGTTTAGAATGTGGGATATTGATTCGAGTGTATAGTCAAGTAAGGATTTCGAATTTTCGCGGGCAATCTGTCGTCTGTGAAAAATACGCGCGTTTCGAAGTCTACGCTGAAAGTCAGCGCCATTGTGGCGTAAGCACAACTTGAGGGAAAAGTAGTTCTAAGAGAAAATGGAACGTTTCGCCGTTTTAAGTGAAAATTATTAATGTAAGTGATGAAAAAAGGTTAAAATAGGTTTAGCATATTTCGAATAATGTCGATAGTGTCCAAGTGTGTGTTAGAAATGCATTAATTTAGAGATGAAAATATGATGGCGTAGTAATCGGACCTTTACCCATAACCTCCTTTCGTGTTATTGGAGTAGAGATACGGAATTAAGTTGTGTGTCAGATGTGTCCATCATTTTGGATTATTGAAAAAGTTTGGTGGCGTTATTTATTTACAGAATTTAGAGTGTGATTTAGTGATTAATCTAGTATGTGTTTACAAGGACCAGGGTGCAAATTGGGCTCCCAAAATGAAGGAAAGCATCCGTTGCTGACTTTAACGGCGGGGTGTTGGCAACGATCGGCCGTGCCGTGCAACGATCGCCGCAGCCGCAGCCGTTTTTCTTAACATGGCTGCAACGCAGGCCGAAAACCAAGAAAATGACGTGAATAGTGAGAAAGTGCAAAAGGATCAGCAGCATCTGAATGTGCGGAATTCCTTGTTGTTACAAAATGGGACCGATAAGAGCGGTGTTCGCGGAGCTGCTGCCACTGCCAGTGCCAGTGCCGCCACTGTAGCCACTGTAGTGCACCACACAAAGGCTAAAAGCACCGGCAAAGCCGCCAACAAACTAAACGCTAACGATATGAGCCAATACAACCGACAACAAGACGGCGGTGGAGCTGGTGCTGCTGGTGCCGCCTCAGCAGCCGCTGCCACGGGCCCCCCGCCGCCGCCACCGACGGGACCCCCGCAGGCCACGCCGCCGCCGACGTCGCCGCCGCCGACAAACGCAAACCAGGGAGCCGCCACCGGTTCAGCGCCTCCTCCTCCTCCTCCTCCTCCTCGCTCACCTCAGACCGCCACTCTCTCTTCTCAATCTCCAAACGAACCGCCGCCCAACACGGCCGCGGCTTCCGGTTCTGCCGCCGGCAATAACGGCCAGACCAATCAACCGCCGCCGGCGGAACCGGCGGAACATCCACATCCGGCTCCGGATACACAAAACATGTATCCGGCGACGACGGAAGGGGCTCCGCCACCGATGCCGCTGCCGCCACAGCAACAGCATCACGGCCCACCGTCGGGGGGCCCGGGCCCCGAATCCGCACCGCCGCACGGTGGTTACGGTGCTTATCCGCCATACGGCAGGGACGTTCATAGTATACATAACAGTGCTTCAGTACCGGCACCGGCTGGTGGTGGCCCTAATGGTCCGCCACAACAGCAGCAGCAGCAGCAAGAAGGTGGCGGCGGTGTGCACGCGTTCGGTCCGCGACAACCTTTTGCCGGACAGGCACCTGGGGCTAAGCAGATACCGCCGCCCCATCCGCATCAGCAACAAGCACACCAACCCCATCGTTTTGTCGCCGGCCAACCCACCGGTCCGACACCGACACTTAACGAACTTCTCCAGAGAAACAACAACGCGTTTATGTGCAACACAAACAATTACGATCCTTACAAGGGTTGGTCGTCGCAAAAGCAGCATCCCCAGACATATGGGCAACCAGCAGGTCCTCCTGCACCTTACAGAACACAACCAGCTGTAAGTTGCTTCTTTTTTACCTATTCTTCTCTTCTTATTAACTTCTTTTTCTCCAATTTCTTTTCCCATAGGCTTTCTCCTATAATAAATCATTGGCAGGAGAAAGCCACGTGTATTTGTTTGTTTACGATTATTTTAACGACAGGGTCGGATCCAGCAGCGTCTCGTAAAACATTTTCGGCACCGACCTGAACATGCAAATTACGGCCTTGAACTTGCTCTCACATCCAATTACCGTACCGCCCACTTTGTTATTATACAATCAGCTGACGTGTCGCAAATGTGACGTCGAACACTTTTAACACCTACACATCATCCCCATTAGACTAACAACTTTCTTTACATAACCCCAATCTCTTCCCTTCCCACCAGACAAAACAAATCTCTCGGTTCCAAGTTCATCCTGTTTTCAAAACTTCTTTTTGCTGCATATAAAGCTATATTCGTAATAGGTAATAATGGGCCCATTCCATTCGTGCGAAATATACAACTCGATTCGACGTAGGTATTCGGTTCATTCATTAATTTCTTCCTCGTATTTATTAAGTTGTTTTTTATGTTGTTTGTTTACTTGTTTTCTTACATATTTTCTGGCAAGAAAACTAAACAATGCTTAGTGGTTATTTTTAATTCATAAATCTAATTTTATCTTCATTCAGTAACCTTGATTGTAACCAAACTATCAAAATTACGTGTCGTTATTTTGTTTATTATGTATAAGGGTGGTTTATTAGTACTAGCGCAATTTTATCTAATTGGCTGCCTTTATATTGTAAAGCAAATTATATATGGGGATCTAATATCAATTTGAGTAATATTTTCAGTATTCAATTGAAAAAAAGAGGTATGATATTTTTATACAATCATTTCAGCTGGACTCTCATGAAAATTTTAATAATCTAATGGAATATGCTAAAAAATATATTGGACTTTGCTGTCTTTGATATTAGACCCTTGATTCTGTTCTTATTAAAATTAAACTATTTCTTGTAAGAAGCAAGTATTGGTGTTAATTTTATTAATTATCTTGTAAAAAGGCTTGATTCGTGTAAGCTTGAGTGAAGTAAATGGGACTGCGTTGTTTATCGGGGAATGGTTTATTTCAGCTGTCGCCGGCATACGGCGGCGGAGGTCCGGCGCCTAGCCCCGGCTACGGCGAAGGCAGAGCTGGTTGGCCGGGCGGTCCAGGGGGTCCAGGGCCAGGTCCTGGCCCCGGTCCCGGTCCTGGGCCCGGTAGTCCGGGACAAGCTGGAGCGGGCGGAACTCCTGTGAGCCAGCCGTCTCCGCAGCCTTCGCAACCGCCCAGCCATTCGCCAGGACCTGGACCTGGGCCCGGGATGCCGGCAAGCCCTCAGCACCAGCCGCAGTCGCATCAAGGGTTCAATCCGAACAGGCCGGCACCAGCTACCACGCCGAACGCACATGCTCCCGATGCGGCGGTAAGTACAACCACCTTGTCTTTATCTCTTTCTCTCATACGGGATATTTTTATTCGACCTTACATCATGCAATCAAAATTTTCTTAAATAATGTCGTTTTGCGCTACTTAATATATCTACCTAATTGGTATTTTCAGTGGCATCTATTAGGTTTCGAAATATGTATTCAATGAGTTAGTTTCAAGTTGAGCAAGATTTTCAAGGCTATAACGCAAATCTAGTTGGTAAACGTGTGTTTTAGCAATAAAATTCTTTGTTTGGCAACAATGCATGCTCGAGAATATTAAAATGACTACTTGAACTATGAGCAAATTTTCTATTTATAAATCGTAAAATTCCCGCCAAACTACCAAAACGCTTTGAACATTTTTCGTGGGGCTTTTTTTAAAATAACACAAATTTAAACTGGTTTTTATTTTTTATATCTATTAATTAATTATATCGTTTTTATTGATGTAACAAAAAGATTGTAATAGGGAAACTAAATTATTATTATAAATTTTGTTTGCACATTACAATATTTTAAATTACATAGCTCTTCTAGTTTAATGAAATTCAAATGTGGCTTCTACTTTTACCTATGAATGAAGTTAGGAAGATCGAGAAGCGGCCGTTTGCTTGGGTAAATAACTAAGTGGCCGAGTTTAATATGGGTGCTTTTGCCTTTGCCGTTGTTATGTAACCCTTTATCTATGTAGCTTTGCAATTAAGTGCGGTCTTGACCTTTGTGTCCTGTTTCGATTTCTAGACAACACGTGTTTTTGTAATTGGAGGGGGTTTGTTTGATGCCCAAACGATACTGATACGATAAATGTAAATTATAAAGGAAGGCAAAGAAATATTCCATCGACTGTACAAGGCTTTATTTCAACTTTTGTATTCTGGTTGTGGCTTGGCTCGCTTCAGATATTGCTGTTGTGCTGGCTTGGCTGACGTTGCCAGTTCGGCTTTTAACCAGCCAAGTGCCGCTTGTTATTGATTGGTACGCCACTGCATGGCAACACCGCTTGCTACAGTACGCTGCACTGCATTTTGTTTCGGTCCTCGCCTGTTTGCCCGACCGCTCGTCCGTCCACCCGCCAGCCTTATGCCGCCGCTAAAGCCAAAGCTGCTTCCTAATGCCTCTCCTACCGTTCACGTTGTTTTCTTATTTTATTGCTTCGAAAACTCACCGTTTTTCATTATTATTTCCCTCATATATTTGTTATAACTTATTGTTAAAGGAAACAATAAAAATAAAAAAGCCTAACCTATAGGTAGGACTATAAAAATGAAATGTAATGTAGTTGGAACGCCAATGTAAATTCTACTCGCTTGAATGTTTGAAAACCGGCAAGGATGACGTTGCAAGTGAACTAAGTTGACTCGAGCTCGTGGTATGGCATGGCTTCACTCTAAAACGCTGACTTAATATTTTATTAACACTTATAAATTGCGTTAAATTTGTTATATCTCCGTTTTGAGATTTACCCCACTAATAAAATTAATTTTCGTAGGTACGCGCTCGCCAACTAAAGGGTCTTTTAAGGCTTTTACTTTCACCCCGTAAATATTTTATGCGGGGTGGTTGGTCTTTGTTGGCTTCAAGTGGTAAATTATCGATCGCTATGTCTGAATTTACCGTTTGTTTTTTATGAAATCAATTTTACTTACTTACCATAGGTAGGTACTTGTATGAACTCATTCAATACAAGGAAAGCAATAAATAATTTTATGAAGCATTTTATTTTACTATAAAATAAATATCTACTTAGGTTTACGAGAGATATAGGTACCTATATTGTGTTTATATATCTGGAATGTCAAGGTTTTATTTAGGTTGTTTATATATTTTTTTTATTTTACATGTTTAAATTTTTTGTACAATAATAAAAATACAGTGTGTCCCCGGATCGGGTTGCCAATAGGAACAACTTTTTTTATTATTACGACAAAATTCTTTCTTAATAAAAACTTAAAAAATTAAATCTAATGTACAGGGTGCTCAGAAAATAAGAAAAAATCCAATCCAAATTTAAATACGAAATAGTTTTTTATTTTAACATTTAATTAAATTAAATATTAATCATTTCACTAGTAATTTTTTAAACAAGCAGAAGTTTTTATTGAAAAGTGTTCTATAATTTAAACTTTATTATCAACACTTACCAAGTGATTGATTATCGCCTAGGCTCTAAATATAATTTAGACTAATCGGGTTTCCTAGTTTGTAAAAAACCTGTTTTGACCAATAAAAAAATTCGACTACTGTCAGACAGGGTTCGCCTGATTTAAATCAACGATTTAAATTTAAGTTTCTAAAATCTAAAAAAGAAACTTAAAAGATCTAAAACTAAAGTACAATAAAATCTTGGCACTATTTAAATAAATTTAAGTTTCTAAAATCTAAAAAAAAACTTAAAACTTCTAAAACTAAAGCACAATAATATCTTGAAACTATTTAAATAAATTCATATGCATAGAAAAACTGCTTATTTTGTTAAATAAAATAATTAAGGAATATACAAAAAAAATATATGACAGTTGGGGACGGTGGTTTATTTGTTTATAAAGTAGTGCCAATGTAATAATAATATTACATTGGCACTAGTTTATAAACAAATAAACCATATTATATTATTATAGTCAAGTTATTTTTAGTATTTTTTTAATATTATACTGTATTATAAAAAGCTTATAATTTTAAAAAATAGTAATAAAAATCATTTTTTGTTGATTTTTTTAATAAAAATTATCGATTTTTTATGTTTTTAAATCATGATTTTTTCGAATATGCAGTATTTTTATTTGTTTAAGTTGATTAAGTCTCAAAATCAAAAAAGATTTGTTTGCTAATTCAATACTTTTATCAAAATATTTACTTTATTTAAATTCTATATTTATGAATTAATTTGCTGATCACTTAATTATTTTTTTAAATTCATCATGATTTTAATAACCATATAATATAATAAAATTACATAACCTCGATTTATTTATGAAGGTAAAAAATTAAAAATTCAAGTAAGGTTAAAAGCGATGTGTTTATCCCTTTACGGACCTACCCTAACCGTCGGATCTGGGTCAGAATCCTTTGTATTTTATGGGTATAACATAAATTAATGTGAAAACCACCTGTACTGCGTTATGCCTTTTGGCCATTCAATTTAATCACAACTGGTTTTTAGCATACACAAAATGTTAACGGCAAAGTCAAACAAAACCTGTGTGTGCAATAGCAGGTAACTACACCTACGCGCATTAGGTGTACTTTGTTGAATTTTGCACATTTAAAATTATTATTACTTCCTTACAGATTTTTTGGCTCAGCTGATATTTATGCTCCCATTACCCGGATCAAGTTTACGATTGTGTTTGTTGATAATAAACCCATTTGCGGCTGGCAGTAAAATTTCGTTTGTCATTTTTTGAACATCCCAATTAAAATCTTTAGTGCTTGTTTATGTTCGTTTCAATAAAAAAGTTACGATATTCGCTGCGAATTAAACTTTCGTTTTCAACCTCAACCTATCTATCGGTTTAAAAAGTGGTCGGTCGGTCGTCCAGACGATATTTGCATTAATAATTAACTTAAAGGTCATTTCATTTCGAAAACGACAAGGTCGCATTTTCCGTTTTGGCCTGCACATAAAGCGAATGCCGTTGAATCAGCTGTTTGGATTTTCTTTATTTGGATCGCGAGGAATAAAAATTCAAAAAATACAGCTACAATTGCTTTAGGGCCGGTCGGTGCAAGTTATTTAAGGATTTACTATAAAGACCTGTTTCTTTTTTCTTCCGTCACTCACTCGCTCATTCATTCTTTCATTCAGTAAAAAGTTATAAAAAAAGGGTCGCATTCGCAAACATGTTTACAACAATGAAAACATTGTTTCACGTTTTCTGCTTTTATATGTATATGCGTTTTATGCGCACATATGCCACCATTAAAGAAAGATGTGATTCGTACTTAATGTAAAATAATGAGTTACGCACACATAAAAGGTAAACGCGTCTTTCGCCAAAACTGAATATAAACTTAGTTTAATCCCAACACGTCTGGATTTTTTCTACAGTGTGTTGCCAATCAAATTTACAGGGTGCTCAAAAATTAGTTTATAGCTAAGCTGATAAATGTTTTATACAGTTCTTTTTAAACCAAACTTTAAACCTAGATACATTAATATGGCAATAATAAGCAAGATTTACATCAAGACCTTAAAATTGTATTGAATTATTATTTTTACATGTAAAACCGTAGTCCAGTATCTACAAATTTTTAGCGCTTAATTTTATCTTAAATAAAAATACCATGTTTACCAATTTGTGGAACTCAAAAATACGGCTGTTATTTGCGAATTCACTCCTTAATCCTAGGTGCAAGGGGTGAATTTTTCTTAACCAACGAATTGCAATAATACCCGTAGCAATAGTGTATTCCGCTAAAACTGAATTTAAACTTAGTTTAACCACAACATGTCTGGATTTATTTTACAGTGTGTTGCCAGTAGGATTTTTTGTTTATTATGCGTTTCATGACAAAAAATCTTTCTTTATAAAAACTTAAAAGATTCCTATAATTTTTTGTAAAATCAAATTTACAGGGTGTTCAGAAATTAAGAAAACATGAAATGAATTTACCGCCAAGCTGATAAATGCTTTTTTAAAGAGCATACAGGTCTTTAAACCTAGATAATTTAATATGGGGCTGAGTTTTATTCATTCAGAAAAAAGCAAGATTTACATCAAGACCTTAAAATTGTATTGAATTATTATTTTTACATGTAAAACCGTAGTCCAGTATCTACAAATTTTCAGCGCTTAATTTTATCTTAAATAAAAATACCAAGTTTACCAATTTGTGGAACTCGTTTTTTTTTGTCAAAAATGGTACCGCTGTTTTTTCTATAAAATAAAAAATACGGCTGTTAAATTAAATTTATTTATTATTAAATTATTTTTAAGAAAATAAGTTCAAATAGTTTGTCTTTCTCTGTCTGAGTCATTTTTACTTATTTAACATGACATATTGACATAATGTCACTATAGTAATTTATTTTCAATAAAAATTTTGATATACTGAGGCTTCTTGATTTATAACAGTTTAAAAAAAAACATTTAATGATAACATTTCGAATGCGAATATTTCAGAAACGGTTGAATTTAGGTATATGGTTTGTTATATGAATTATGCTCAGAATTTTACAAGGAATCGAAAAATAAATTCATACATAGGGTGATCCATTGAAAAAAAATAAACTTTTTGTTTTTCCCTGTATACTGATCAATTTTCCAACTTTTTTTATACATAGAAAAAAAGTATTTTTTAGTTCCTACATAACCACAGTTTTAAATTTTTTGGGACACTTAAAATAAAAAAGTTAAAGGGGGGCGACATTATAGGGGATCACCCTGTACATATATCGTATCCCAGCGATCGCAAAAAAAAAATCTTAGCCAATGAATTGCAATAACACCCATGGCAATCGGAATTTCGTTTCAAACGGGGTTGAATTAATTGTGCAGGCTAGGCGTGTGTTCACAGGTTGAATTGTTTTATTGTAAATTTCAGGATTTAAGTGGCGGAAATAGCAACGACAGTAGCGGCGGTCCAGCAGCCCCGGGCACCCCGAATTCGCAGGGAATGCGCCCGACGCCGTCTCCGACAGGGTCGACGGGATCGAGATCGATGTCGCCCGCAGTAGGTAGGTGCACGTGTTGGTTTTCTGTTACGCTTTCGCATTTGTTCGTTCTCGTATAATGTGTATGTTGTACCGCTTAAAAAATGTTTTGGCACGGAAATTTCGTTTTCAGGGCAAAACATTTCCATTCCACCGCGACCGTCAAGCGGTCAGTCCGATGGCAGCGGACCCACTCGCATGAGCCATTCCCCAATGGTATCGCAGAGCAGCTACCAGCCATCACATCCGTCTCATGCTCCTCACGGTTACAAGGCCCATCCGGGCATGCTTCCCCAGGCCCAACAAATGCCTCCTTACCAACAACCAAATCAGTATCCTCCCCAAGGGGCCGGTCAAGGTCCTCCCGGCCAAGGCTACCCGCCTCCGCGCCCTCCCCAAAATTTGTCACAATATCCCGGCGGCCCAGGCGGCCCAGCTCAGGGCTACGGCCCCATGGGCGGCGGTCAACCGCCTCCACCTCAATCTTCTAATAACATGCCTCCATCGCAATTTCCATCCCGACCGGGTTCGAATCACATTCAACAAAATTCCTTTGCGCCTTATCAACAACAGCAGCAGCAGCAGCAGCAGCAACAGCCACCTCAGCAGCAGCAGCAGCAGCCCCCTTGGCCGGCAGTGTCGAGTGCCGGTTCGAAAGGGAACGGGCCGAATCCCCCGCAACCGCCCGGATCTCCGGGTCCGGGAGGTCCGACGCCTCGACAGCCGCACTACCTCAAACACCACCTGCAGCACAAAATGGGATTTGCCGGCGGACCCGGATCCGCGCCTCCCAGTCCCGGGCCGCCGCAACCGAATTACCACATGGGACCTCCCGGTTCGGCCGGCCATCATCACGGCATGGGCCCGCCGCCCTCCATGGGTCCCCCATCCAGTAGTCCCCTTCTACCGAACAGCCATCCCAGTCACGACGGGCCCATGCCACCTCCCAGTTCCACCCCTAATTCGCATTCCCAAATCGGATCGTCGGATATGATGGACAACGGTATCACAACGCAAGCCCAAGCCGGCTTAAATACCCATGTTACTGCGGCCTCCAGTGGCTCTGTCACCTCGGTCGTAACCACCGGTCCAGATGGAACGCCGATTGACGAAGGCTCCCAACAATCCACCCTATCAAATGCATCAGCCGGTAAGACAACCGAATCCGTCCACCCACCCATCCATCCATCCATCCATCCATACAATCGTCTACTACACACACACTTACACTAACATTTTAACCATATGCTATAATGCAAAATTAACCTTGTGAACTTGTCTTCTAACAGCTTTAAACTTGTTGGTTTCTTGTTTTGGGACAGGGCATACCTATGGGTGTTGGTTTTGCAAAAAGTTCGACAAAAACACTTTGTAAGCCTGATTTATAGATTGCCTTCCATTCTTCCTTCCTCCCGTAGAAGATGAACAATACAATAAAGATTCCCGTACGGGAATCTGTAAATGGCACTACGATTTTCGTATTGTTAATCTTTTACGGGAGGAAGAAAGGAAGGCAATCTATAAATCAGGCTGTACTATTACTTACATCACCGACGTATTTTGTCGAATTATTTGTTAAATATACATGAGGTTGGTGACTATTTGGAGTTTGAATAAAACTAACGGTGAATCCGGTGTTGTTAGCTTCAGGTGAAGATCATCCCCAGTGCACGACTCCGAAAGGTAATCGAAGCAGCAGCAAAAACGACATGCAGCATTACGGGCATCCGACAACGCCGCAAAGCACAGTGCCGTCGCCGGGAGCAGCCAGCATAAATTCGATACACGACGATTACGGAGAAATAAACAGCCCTAGCTGGCCCAGAACGCCAGCCAGTCCGGTAAGTCGACTTTCATTTCAATTTAACCAGGGCTCCCACACCTCCTAAAATTGCCATTAATCTCCTAAAACTCAGTTATAAGTAGGCCAACTTGACTGCGTTTGTGCTAAAATATATCTTTTATAAAATATATATTTTTAGGTACTAGTTTATTAAATTCTTTTTAAAATGATATATCACAACCTACATTTTTATTAAAAAACAACAAAATATAGCTAACCTAAAAAACAAAATCCATGTAGTAGCTCCTAGACTTCTTTAAAATTGTCATTTTTAGCCATATTTCGTTTGTTTTCAACAAAAATATACCGTGTTGTATATCAAACAAAATGATTTTTAATTTTCTTTTAAATGATAGCTAAAACAGTTTACAATCTAAAGAATGTTTTGCTGTATTATGCAAACTTTATATTTTTTCTATTATGAGATTTTTGAGTAACAAGATCCACATTACAATTATTGTTAATTATTAACTAAACGGTTAACATTTTTTTCCTCAAAATATAAATTTGACTTTGGCCTAGTTTTTTAGCCATATCTATCGACGCGTTTTTTATACAGATATGTATATACAAAAGTAGTACTTTTACCACTTTTAATTTTATTAAAATAAACTCGTCGAGCGATTTGGCTAAAAAACTAGTCAATGTAACCTATTTGTGCAAAATAAGTGATATTTATTTATTTTGTTAAAAATATTTTTTTTCTTATTTTTTAAGTACAATGTAGAGTTTTTATTTAATTACATACATTAATTTGCATACTTTATTTCTCCCAAAAAACTCCTAAATTCCTAAATAAAATTTGTAAAGTAGCCGTGGGAGCCCGGTTGTGTCTTCACACCCCATACAACAGCTACTGTCTATAATATGTGCCTTAAGAAATTAAGTAAAAAAAAAACACTGCTTAATGAAATGTTTTCGTGTTATTTTGTGTGTACACTGAGTTAACTTGCGGGGTGTTTCCAGGTGTTTAACAGTCATGTGCCTCCATCGGATACCTACCGCTCAAAGGTTTATATACATTACATTTTTTGTTGTCCTTAAAAGCTTGTTGTAGCATGCCTTCGCATGTCCCTTTATTTTCAGCAAAACAATAAAAATTTTTTATTAAAATTACTTACAGTATTTTTAAGTCGTACCTAATCAAATCTAGTAGTTGGTTAATATGAATGGGTTTTGTTAGTTAATGGTGTATGTAGTAATAACGTAGTGGTAGAGTTAGTTGCGTGTTTGCACCGGTTTTGACTGGGTTATGTTTGCAGAAAACCGATAGCCTAAGCAAACTGTACGAAATGGACGAGAGCCCAGAGCGAAGAGCTTGGCTGGATAAGTTGCTCGGTTTCATGGAGGACAGAAGAACTCCAATCACCACATGCCCCACAATTTCGAAAAATCCTTTAGATCTGTTTCGCTTGTATATGTTTGTGAAAGAGAGAGGTGGCTTTATGGAGGTATGTTTTGTTGTTGTTGCTGCGAATGTGTCGATTATGCGGGAATGTTTTAAGGTGACGAAAACCAAGACGTGGAAAGATATTGCCGGCATGTTGGGAATCGGAGCGTCGTCGAGTGCGGCCTACACCCTGCGAAAGCACTACACGAAAAATCTGCTCGCGTACGAGTGCCAGTTCGACAGGGGCGGCATCGATCCGCAGCCGATCATCAACCAAGTGGAGGCTAGCTCCAAGAAGAAGGGCGCCAAAGCGGCCTCGGTGCCGTCGCCGGGCTCCTCGAATTCGCAGGACTCGTTTCCGCCGCCTGGCTCGGGCGGCGCCTCCATGGACGGCTATCCGCCCTACGGATATCCGCCGCCTTCCGGCAACCCGGATTACCCGCCTTCGCAGAGGCCTTCGTCGCAGTCTGCTCCCTCGCCTCACGGAGGTATGTATCACAAACCAACTATCTCTAAACTGTCTCTCTATTATCTCTGTATTATCCGATATCCTACCACCCCACCGTTTAGCAACCACATCAATGTTTTTTTCCAGATTATTTTGCGCATTTTTTATTTTTACTTATACGCCGAAGAAGCATCGCTAGTAGCGCCACCACGTTTCATAACCTGAAAATCCTGGGTTGAGTTTTAACCGGTTACACAATAAACAGTGGAAATCCGAATGAGGAAATAAATTTCATACAGTCCCTGTCAGAGCTGGGAAAGTTACTTCTAAAAAGTATCTAGTTTCTTTTCTAAGATACTTTAAACAAATTTACTCGCCTCTGGGAACTAGATACTTTGAGTTAAAAGTATCTTTAGTTACAAGATACTTTGAATAGTATTTAAGATACTATATGAAAGTATACTTTTGAGTAACTAAGATACTTTTGAATAACTAAGTTTCTTTTTAGTATGAATAACAACTATAAAATTATGTAAATTCAACAAGTTGTAGGTTAGGTAATTACTTTGAATTGAATATTAATTAATAATAAATCAAAATCGAGTACTAAACGCAAAGTTTTACAGTTTTTACTTGCAACGCTAAACACAAAAAACGTGCGCGATTTAGCTGTGCAATTGAAACTTTGCGAACAAAATAATAATACGTCGAGTAAGACTTCTGACTTTCTCTCTTTTGCGAAAAAAATACTTATTTATTTAAAAATGATGTGCTTTAAATGTATTGTTGACAATTCTTGAATTCCCACAATGTTATCAATTGCCACCAGATCCTGATGCTTCTTTAGCGTATTCTTAAGTATTGTCGAAATTAAATTATTTTCTGCATAACACTTATTTAGAGAACTATATCGCGCCTTGTATTAAAATAAGCCATTACAAAAAATTACAAAATTAACAATACATACATACATTTTGTAAAAATAATTTTAAACATTGTTTACCTATTTGGAATAACATTTCAAATAATACAAGAAACCCATAAAAATATAATTTTAGATTACTTAACCTGAAAACCACAACACTGATCTGTCAACAATATCTTTAAGGTCAAATCACACATGGTTTAACCATCATATGTGTTTTTTACTTAAATATAATTTTCCACATCGTATTCAAAAATGCAATGTGTTTAAGTCAGGTAAGTAATGTAATGATTTACGTTAATTTTTTTCTAAATTAAAATTCTGCTTCATTGTGATTTTCAAAATGGCGGCTTACATTGCTACAAGGTTTGAACCTCTAACTTGGTCGATATTAGTTCTCTAAACATGTGGTGTAAATCAGGGGTATTACGAATGTTGGCCTTTGTTATTCGCAAAAATTCATGCAAATATTGTTGGAACGAAAAAGAAACAGTTTAACGAAAAGGAATACAAATATTTGCTTTATAATCTGATACTTGGGGTATTATAAGAAAAACACAATTTTTTTACATAATTACTCTTGTATTTTAGTTTTTAGATTAATATTGACATGAAGGTATCAAATAAATCAGTCTCAATATTTTTTTTCACGCAATACAAAACTCGGTAGAACAAAGATATCAATTCGTTTGGCGAATCATGGTGACGAGCACTCGCGAATGTCAAAAATATGACATTCATAACATCCCTGGTATAATTCATTGCTCTGGCTATGTTTACGGTTTATGTAACTAAAAAACCTAAGTTTTTCATGCATGTTTTTTACAAGTGCGACGAACGAAATAAATAACACCTATAAAATATTGCATTAGTTTAATTTGAGTTTACCGCTCATTTGTGCAATTTAAATTTTCTGAAATGTTTAAATAGCGCTATGGATTTACATATATCACTGTATCATCAGGCGGTTTTATTAAATTATTACAGAGGTAAAAAACATTTATTTTTTGCATATTTTTTATTTCAAATGAAAGTGAACAATTTAAATTACTGTTTCTCTCAATTAATCCTAATTATTTGTAGAATAAAAAAACAGTTCAGAAAAAAAGTAAATTTATTTTTTTAAGAATATGATTTATAGAATCCGAGTTTTACTTGAAAATCGTTTTTACAGTTCAGTTTCTAGGAAAAACAGTTTTTTTTAAGATTCAAAAATAGCGCCAAACATTTCTTTTTCCAAAAATTAAATTCGCTCGTTTTCAACTAATACAGAGCGAACCGTCATTTAGTCATCTTCACGTAATGATTGGTTTTTTATGAGCTTTGTCGCGTAATCGTGGTAGATTAGTATATGTGTGTAATTTTAATTTCCTTTAGGTTCAGGAGGGGCAAATCATTTAAACAGTGCAGCCCCTGGGGGTCCAAGCCCTGCAGGCGGGGCTGCAGACAACGTAAACGTTTCAAATCCTTTTGACGATGTCTCCCCGAGTCCATCACCACGGGGTGGCCCTTTTCCAGGTGGCCCACATCCTCCCTATCCTGCGGGCAATCCACCCAGGCCTTCTTCAGGTCAGAATTACTCCGGCCAGCCTGGATATCAACAATATCCAGGTCCCGGTGGTCCGGGCCCAGGGCCCGGGCCTGCCGCGCCCCCAGATCAGTATTCTCCGTACTCGACTAGTTCAGGTTATTCAGCAGCCGTTAGACCAGTGTATCCTCCATATTCAGGTGACTCGGGCGCGCCGCCTCCGTCGTCTCCGAGCAACGCTTCGCAGGGAGGACCGGCGCAGGGACCGACCCCGCAGGACCACTATCGATACCAGCAAGGACCGCCCGGCCCCGGAGCCGGCTACCAGCCGCGGCCCAATTACGTCGCAGCACCAGCGAACGCCGCCGGTCCGCCTGCCTCCTCGCAGCCGCAGCCTCCTTCCGGCCCTCCCGGTGCCGCAGGCGGTCAAGCTGGAGCAGCAGGACCGCCCTATCCGGACTATTACAACAGGCCGCCTTGTCCTCCAGATCAGGTAATTATTTCGATTATACCTACTTTCCACCTGATTTTAATAACTTGTTTGTTTCTTTTTTTTCTTTTTCTTAACAGCAAGGTGCACAGCCTGGTGCAGGTGCTGGTGGGCCTTACCCTGGCGGACCTAGTCCTGGTCCCGGTGGACCTGGCCCAGGTCCTGGCGGGCCTGGATCCGGTCCCGGTGCGCAAACGCCTAACAAGAACATGCCGCCACCAGGTGGACCACCAAGGCGCCATCCAGACTTCGCCAAAGATCAACCTTACCAACCGTACGGCCAACCAAGAACTCCACACATGTATGGTATGTATCATTTTTACTGTCCCTTGACATTTGAATACAAATAAATGCTAATTTTTTGAAAATAATACAACATGCCAGGGTTCTCACGTGTCCTGGAAAACCTAGAATTACAAACATAATAATTCTATTTGAACTTAGCGTTAAATAAACGAACCGTAAAATATTGAAAAATAAAATTGCTTACTCCAATTGCCGCTAGTGGTGTTTTTAAACAGCGCGCTGTTGACTAGCTTCATTAGAGTACCGAGAGGTGACGCCACTAGCGACAAAATTATTTTTTAGTCATAGATTATAAACCCCGATTTTCGTAAAAAACAATATTTAAAGGTGGTAATTGCAGTAAGATTGGAAGATTAATAGTTTGCAGGTACATTTTAATATTTATACAATAATGTTTTCGGTTTAATTAATTTATTAAACTCTTTTAAAGCCGCAAGTGGTGTTGACAACATTTAAAACCATTAAGCATGGAATGCTTTTAACCACGATCTTATACTCACATTCTAATGTAGAAACTTAATAAAAGACCCCCGGTATTTATTATATATATTTATAATATGTATATAGTTATATATAGTAAGTAAGTAATAGTTATGGTGGATTTATGCAGCACACATTAATTTAAGTTGAGTATTTTATGCAGCAAAATTAGTGGCAAATTAAGCGTGCGTTTAAGCATAGATGAGGTAAAGTTAATTATAAGTTAAAATAATTTTGACATCCGACATTTTTGGTTTGTTTGGATTTTGCTTTAACCCCGTTTTAGCATCTGTTAGGTACGTCAAACAATAAACCAAAGAACACAATCATTGAATAAAAAATTAATCATTCAGCAGACGTTTCATTTTATTTTCGGGTATGTTGGCATTACTGACCTGTTTTATTTAAAAATTGCGCCGCTACCTGCGCTGGAGGAATAAAAATTAACATTATCATTAGGAATTAAAATTTGGCCATCTCTTTAACAACTTAATGTTAAAGTTAATGTTAATGTGTTGAATAAAAGCTTCCAATGGATTACGTTCATTAAACTTCTTAATGATAATCTTAATGTTAATTTGTGCTGTATAAATCCAGCAATATTTAATAATGTGTGTTAAAACTTTTCAAATAAAAATAAATGAACGTTTATAACTGCCATATAAACAATAACCCTATTATAATCTTAAATAAATAAATAGCATTTGCAACAGGAAAAATCATTTAAAAAACTACAAGGGGTAGTGGTGCAAAATTCTGCCTATTTTTAATATTTCTGTATTCTTCAAATTTAATTTTTTTAAGGCCCAGGATTATAATCCTTAAGGATTTTTAGTTAAGGATAGATAAATACAAGGTAATAATAAAAAAATCACATTTTCATACATTCAGAAATAAAATAAAAATGTTTACCTAAACATTTACTTAATTTTTACAGATTGCGATTTTTTACTATTAATATAGCGAGTTTCCACAAAAATTTGGTTGATAATTATTTTAAGTGCAAAAAATTAAGTATTAATTCCCCAAAATCGCAAAATTGAAACCATATACTAAAAAAATTAATGGAAAGTTCATGGGAACCTTGCATACGTGTTTTTTCAGAATTATTTGTATTCAAATGTTTGATGTGGACATGGTACATAATTTAACTTTTTTATAGGAAACTGGCCAAACAACTACCAAAACCGGCCTCTCCATTACGGAAGCGGACCGGCTGGTCCGCAAGGTCCTCCAACGCAATGGAATCCAGGAGGAAGGCCTAGCGGATCTTGGCCAGGCCAACAGGGTCCAGGCGGCTACGGCCAGTCCGGTCAGCCGCAGCAGCAGCAGCAGCAACAACAGCAGCAGCAACAACAGCAGCAGCAGCAGCAGGGCCAGGCTCCGCCACAGCAACAGCCGCAGACTTGGCAATCGGCCGGAGGTCCGAACTCGAATATGCGCCCTATAAGAAAACCATTCCCGCCTCAAATGATGCCGCCGGGAGGAGCTAAAGGTCCTCAAGCGCAACCCATGACCGGCAACTCGTATTCTCACAACCAAATGCCGAAAAGGGAGATTACCTTCCCGCCGGACAGCGTCGAGGCCACCCATCCGGTCCTGTACAGGCGCAAGAGATTGTGCAGGTCGGATCTTGGTCAGGTCGACGCCTGGAGGATTATTATGAGCTTAAGGTCCGGTTTGTTGTCGGAGAGCACCTATGCTCTCGATATGCTCAATGTATTACTTTTCGACGACTCCTCTGTCGGATATTTTGGACTAAGTCAATGGCCTGGTCTTCTGGACTTGTTGCTTGAGCATTTCAAACGATCTTTATACGACATGTTTGAAGAACCGTCTGTGAAAGTGGCAACAACGAGCGATGAGGAGGAGGAGAATGGCAGCGGCAACGTCAACGTGGAGGAGAAACAGATCGACCTTGGCGCTGTACTAAATCCCATTGATCCCAACACAAAGACGGTTATATTGAATAATACCACCAACTATTCTTTCGTTTCTCGTAAAGGTTATCCTGTTAAAATGATTGAGCGAAACGATGATATCTTTGTGCAAGATAACGTTAAAGAGTGGGATCTTCGTGGAGACGTTAATCGTGCTAATACGTTAGCAGAAATTCCGTGCGATCCTTGGCACACGACCGCAGAGCATATTCTACCAACTTTCCAAGCCGAATTTGGCAACATTCCCTTCCACATGAGGCTGGTAGACAAAAAGAGGAAGGGCATCAAAGAAGATGATGGTAGTTTAGTGGACGAGGACGAACAGCAGCAGCAGCAGAAGAAGAAAGTAAAGGAGGAAGGTGAAGTGGCCGACGAACAGGAAAATGTTAAACCTACGGCACGAGAATGCTCATCTCCGGACCAGGCGCCCCCTCCCAACACAACTACGAACGCTTGTGACTGGAAACGTAGGACAAAAACAAAGACACTAAGTGATGTGATATCTCGAATAAAGAAGGATTCTTCCTTTGCTGAAGATTCGCCGCTTGCATTAAAAATGATCATGCCAATTGAGACGGACGTAAATGTAAAGACTGAAGTTGACAGTGTAAGTGAAAAAACAAATTGCACGAACCAAAGCAGTCAAGAAGAACAAGAACAATCGAGTGTAGTAGATCTGAAAGTTAGTGTGAACGGCGAGTGCGGCGACAACTCGATTCGCGATCCGGCGGGTACCTTAAAACGTCGACGTATCACTGATTACGAAGATGAAGCGTATACAAGAGACGAGGCAAGTCTGGTCTTGCTGACTGAGAGTCAGGATAACATTGGCAAACGGTGTGTATGCTTATCGAACATTCTTAGAAGTCTTACATTTGTACCCGGCAATGAGATGGAGTTCTCGAAAAGTAAAAGTTTCTTGGCCCTGGTGGGGAAATTGTTGCTGCTTCATCACGAACACCCGGCTCGGACGCAGAAAACGAGAAATTACGATCGTGAGGTATGTTGTTGGTTGTTGGGTTTATAAATGGTTTATTATTAATGAATGGTTGGTTGTTGTTTGATTTCAGGAGGATGCTGATTTTGCGGATTCTTGTAGCAGTCTTCAAGGTGAAAACGAATGGTGGTGGGATTTCCTTGTACAAATTAGAGAAAACATATTGGTATCGATATCGAACATAGCAGGTCAGATCGACATTTCGGTGTTTAGCGAGTTGGTGGCGCGGCCGCTTTTGGACGGTCTGCTGCACTGGGCCATCTGCCCTTCGGCCAGCGGCCAGGACCCGTTCGCCTCGGCGGGCCCGTGCTCGCTGCTGTCGCCGCAAAGGCTCGCGCTCGAGGCGCTTTGCAAGCTATGCGTGACCAACAGCAACGTGGACCTGGTGATCGCGACGCCGCCCTTCTCCCGCTTGGAGCGGCTGTGCGCGGTGCTGACCAAGCACCTGTGCCGATCCGAGGACCAAGTGTTGCGCGAGTTTTCGATAAACCTGCTGCACTACCTGGCGGCGGCGGACAGCAGCATGGCGCGAGTGGTGGCCTCGCAGACGCCGTGCGTCTCGCTCTTGGTGGCGTTCATCGAGCAGGCGGAGCAGAGCGCGCTCGGCGTGGCCAATCAGCACGGCATCGGCGCGCTCAGGGAGAATCCCGACTCGATGGGCACCAGTTTGGACATGCTGAGGAGGGCGGCGACGACGCTGGTCTTCCTCGCCAGGCATCCGGACAACAAGCCGCTCATGGTGCAGCAAGAGTCGCGGCTGCTCGCGCTCGTTATGAGTCAGATTTTGGACCAGCAGGTGGCACTTTTGCTCTCGAAGGTGCTCTTTCAGATATCTCGCAGCTAAAATTCTCTCTCTCCCCCCCCGACCTGATCCGCTCCGCCCCCTTCCGCGTTAAACTGAAACTAGACCCAAGTGCTGATGATGCCTGCCTGCCTGCCTGCCTGCTCACTTCAATCAATATGTATAGTTATATGATATGTGGTATAATGATGGTGATGACGATGACGATGGCGATGATAATTCATGTGGTAGGACTAATTCGAGCATTCGAGCATCGCTATGTGAACAAAAGACAGTGACGGACAGCAGTGATGATGTGCGCGCGCGTTTGATGAGAGTGACGTAAACAAACAAACAAATGACTAGAGATGAGATGAGACCAGATCTCCAATAGCTAATCAATTCACATAGTGTAATAATAATAATAATAATCCATTTATTGTACCATTTTGTAAATTAAGCGACATACGTCTTTCTGGAAAATGTTAAACATACATCCATGTTACTTATGTATTTATTATTTGATATGAACGAACCCACCAAGAGACAAACAAACAAACAATTAAACCAATAATGATGGTAGTTATTAAAAAATAAAAAATATGTACTGTAGGCCTGACAGTGCAGGGGTGCAAAATTGTAAAAAAAAAATGTAAATGGTGGTTGAATGCTAGCAAGCAGAGCAAGTTGGAACAAGGCGATGCAACGCAACCTCCGTTTTTGACTATTCGTTTTTCTGCACACTCACTTCTCTTATTTCATGTTTGGTATTACTGTGCGAATGCTTTATACATGTCTGATAATGAATTAACTAAATAAATGTACAAAGGAAGTACCGAAAAATGGTGTTTTTATACAAGTTTTAATTTTCTATGTATATTTAGAAATGTTTTATACATCCCATTTTAGCTGTTACTCTGTTATTGAACAAGTATGGACTGTAACCAGGGGCGTCCGAATAGGACAGTAGCTGTCCCTTTCTATTATTTATTATTACATTATTATTATGATTATTATACATATACTAAAATTACAGCGCTTGTCTTATGGTTTACTTTTACTTTTTCCATCAATGCTACTTTTTATGTTGCAAAATATCCACCCATTTAATTTCATGGGTATCACTAAATTGTGGTGACATTCAAGTAGACATTTGTTTGATTAAGTACAAGTAAAAATGGGACAAAAAATAACTTAATGTACATAAGGACGCCACTGACTGTAAAATTTAGAAAAAGGCAGTCTTGATCTTAGAACTCAATTGTAGTTTAAAATATGTGGTGATATTTTTCTGGCTGTAGGTATTAATTCATCTTATGTATGATTGCATATTATAAATTAAGTAAAAGGCTAAATACATTGATTTTCATTTTTTTTATTCATTCATAACATGTCCCTCTATTTTTTTCTACGAATTTTTCATAGGTATTATTTTTACTCTTTTATTGGCTAGACAGGGGAGTTGCACTCTAAATCAATTTCAGAGTTATTTTGTACATTACTTCAATATATATAAACAAATAATTAACTTGTTTTGTTTTTATAACTCATTTTTAACAATTCAGTCCCTAAAGCATTCAATATTAAATTCAATCTAACAGGTTTGTTTTATTTAAAACAGGTAAGTTTTAAACTAAAATATATATATATAATATAATAAAACAATAAAAAAAGGTAACGTTAAAAATGAGAAAATAAAATTCCTCGATGTGACATAAAAACGTCACAGCGACAACGTCGCAAATTATTGTTTTACCTTTACGATTGCAGCTAATGTCAGGCTATAGTTGTGAACGAGCCCTTTTGATATGTCAGAGTGAGACCCTCCCACCCTTGCGTGCTTTTTATAACATGGCGACGGTTTTGTTGTAAACATAATTTAAAGTTTGGAAAGATACTATTTCAATTCAAAGCAATATGAAAGTTTTTATTCGGTGAAATTTAGTGTTTTGTGAAGTAAACAAGAAAAAGGGACATAAAACGAATGGTCTTTCATTCTAATGTCAGCTGTTACACATTCTGTACCAGGTTAGTAAATTCTATTATGCCTACTCAAATCCCATTCCTAGGTATATATGCACAATATATAATCCAATGTTATTGTTTAACATTTACGAAGCTTAAAATAACGTTTCTTTGGCTTACGTGCTTAATTTTGCGTACGAAATATAAAACAATTGGAATTGTAAATTTTTCTTTTTTTATATATTACAATTACCTATTAACGCATTTTTTAAACTTTTTTCTTAAACCTAAAATATCGATTTTAATTTTCGTAAAAATTGTTTGCAATAGGTACCTATCATTAAGGTGTCTTTACCTACCTAAAAATCAAACTCTGTTATTGTGTTTCTAATAGGGCATTTCTGGTTAATTTTTAAGGGGCTGATCCTACAAAGGGTCTTCAAAAACGTAGAGGTGTTATAGGGTAAGCAAACTTTTAATTATTATATTCCATAAAAATATAACAATCATTAGCATGTTCATTCTAATCTATGCAACCCAGTATACGTTTGGGTTAGCTATATCGCCAACAGATGGCATACCATACATGATTTAAAAGTTAAATTACAATTTTATCTATTTTTAATCAATAAAAATAATTACATATTTAATTATAAAAACAAAATAAACAAGGAAATATTAGATACAAATTAAATAAAATAAGTGAATTGATTCCGTGTCAAAAATACAAAAACTTCGGGGGATGATTCCATGCAAAGCATAACTTTTAAGATTCAATTATGATAAGGAAATTATTTCATTCTTATCAGTTAATAAATAGCTGGTAATGGCGGTACAAGAAAATTCGCTGTTTATCGTTCGCTACCAGTTTCATTATTAATAACCGCATCTGTCATTCAGGTCTAAATCTGTATTTTGGAAATCTCTTTTTATAATATGGCAAATAATTTTCGGTAGAAGAGCTTCTGTGGTTTCAAAATTAAAATGAATGTTAGGTTGTTTCGGTGAACAAAAACAAGAAAATTTATTCTTTATTTTCACTAATGTTAATTTTTAAGACCCTATTGCCAAAATCGGCGAAGTATTCTCTTTAAGGTTTATCCCTTACACAACTTAATTTAACAAATTACCACTACTATTACCAATTCCATTATTAAGATTTACTATGAAAAAACCCAAGCTCTGAGCAGGTAACCAGCAAGTTTTGCAATTTGGGGAAAGTCTATCTATTTTATTTCTCTATTTACAACCTTCATAATTTATGACTTTTAACAACTGTTATCATAACTAAATAGATATATATATATATATTTATTATATTGTAAGCTATAAATTTTAACCTTCAACGCTTGCACTAGTTTTTGTAAAAATATGTCATTTTTTGTTTTTGGTAAAATTTGTACACTAAATATTTTCCTATTTCGTGTGCACACTGTTTTTTTTTGTTGCTTTTACGTTATTATTATATTTTTATGTTAAAATTTATAAAATCCGAGGTACATATTTTATCCGTCTTGTATTGTGACGTTTATAAGAATGATGCCTTGTTACGGGATTTTAAAACATGGGATCGCAGCGAATTACGGGAATCGGGGATCACATGTAAGCCTTATAAATGACACCAACTATTGTTGGGCCGCGTTGGGGTGGATTTTAAACAAAACGGAATTTTAAAATCGAACCATGGTTCATGCATGACTTTTGAATATTAATGTTAATCGGCCTAATACAGGTTTGTTGTCAAATTATACGTTTATTATAAGTTTATACCTTATAGCTACGACCGGTCGTTCTGCGGTAATTATGTAATTTTCAAATATCATTTCGGAAACTACTTAAAGGAGTTTTGAAGTTGTTCACCACACTGAAAATAACTGATTTTAAGCCTTGGCAATTTTTATAATAAAGCATTCACTATAATTACAATTAAATCAACTCTTTGGTAGGTATAAATACAATTTTCATAAAATATTACATTTATTTGTTCAGACAGTCACCGGTCAAAACCGCTAAAAATACAGGATGTCCCAAAAGTAGCGCAGCACTTCGAAGGTTAAGGATTCAACAGACCCTATATGTAAATATAAATATATTGAAGCACAATTTATTTATTAAAGTTGCACATTTAAATTAAAAAGTAATTAATCTTCCACTTTTTCTGCACAAACGCAAAACTAGATAAGTCGAGTTGAGTACACTGGTGTCTTAAACATCTTCTAAAAGTAGTCAAGTCAAAATGTCAATAGCTATATCGGAAATCGAAATTTGGGAAAAAGTTGTTGGGGGACAGTCATAAAATTTAGTTCCTTGAAAATGGGTCGGATCCGTTTAAATCTTTTCAAAAATGGAATTGGGTAAACAAAACAGAAAAATTAAAGGGTAAAAAAATTGCAGTTTAACGTACAAAAAGATAATCATCATAAAATTATTTTATTAAAAAAATAATCGGTTTAAATTCGTTTATGGTATATTATGTATCAGGTTTGATAAACGCTATGTTAGTTACAAATTTAATTTAGGCACTAGCGATCTTGCGAGCTAGTGCTTAATTAAATGAGTGCCTAGAAAAGTTTATAAACGAGTTGCATAATATACTTTATCTATTTTGCGTTATAATGACTTCATGACGCTTTCGGTGCTGTAATGAGATACTTTATCACACCCAAAATTTTGATTTTATAGGTTGGTTACACTTTAAACGGCATAATATTTTGCATATTGGTTATAATATTTTTATGATTTTTCTAGTACTTACGAGACTTTTCTGGGTAATAAATTTTGTTTAACACCAAAGAAAATCCTTTTTTCTTCTTTAACATTAACAGCCGCTTATTGTAAATAAATAAATTAAGGACGGCATGGCGAATCGATTTTGACATTAACTGTTAAACCAATGACTGTGATACCAACTATCCAAATTAAAATTCGACCAAATTAAATTTAAGTTATAAAATTATTTTTTTATAGAATTTTGCAAAATAGATAAAATAGCATAAAGAACTCATGTCATAAGACCTTTTGACGTCTTATGGCATTAGTTCTTTAATATACTATTTATCGACAAATACTAAAAAATTATTAAAGTTAAATATTTGTAAAATAAACATTTTTAACGTTATTTTTACCATTAATATTGCTCGTTAATATTTTAATTAAACTTATAACAATTATTGATACCTACATAAAATATTGAAATAACTTTAAAATATTATTATGCTAAGAAAATATTTTATCCTTTGATTTTTTTTATTACTATAATTGCAAAATATTATCACAAAGTATTAAAAATTCTTACAATAGATATAGAAGCAGTAAAAGGGAAGAGAATGTTTTATGGGCACTGTAAGCAAAATTTTTACCGCTCTATCAGTTAAATCTAGTTAACTGCACTACTACGGCGAAATCAAAAGGTCAAGGTTCATAGAATCTTTTCAAATATTGGCGTCAAGAAACTATTTAATGCTTTTGTATTTTTTTCTACTCCCACCTTTAAAACGCCCTTTATCGTACATGTTTCCGTGACACTAAGTTAAATACACATTGACAAGTTGTGGCTTTATGGCTCTTTAGTCACGGGCTGAAGTTAACAACAGGTTTTTAGTCACGGGCTGAAAGTGCTCACAAAGCATTTTCTTTACTTTCACTGTGAAAAACTGTCATTTTTCAAGAAATAAATTTCGATTTATAACCTTTATAATCTGTGTTTATTATAAAATTTGACATTTGACGGTGACACACAGATTCCCCTATTGTTTCATAGATGGCGCTCTATACAAATTTTTGATTTAAATCATTTTAAGATAATAATAAGTATTTGTCGTAGAAAAAGTATAGTATGCATCTCGATTATAAACTTTTCTATACACTCATTAATTAAATTCGTGTATAAAATGGCGTTTATCAAACTTGATATTAAGATAATAAAATAATTTTCACTTTTAGTGTTATTTTACAAGAAAGGCACTTTATTTGTGATTGTATGACATTTGACAACTGTCAACTAACTTATGACTAAAAACCTGTTGCTAACTTTAGACCGTGACTAAAAGGCCATTTAGTGCCATGAAAACTGTTTCCAGGAAATATGTACGACAATGGGCGTTTTAAAAGTGGAAGTAGAAAAAGTTTATTATGCTTTGTATAATAATAATAATACAATATTTTTATGAAACGTTATCTTATTCTTTAAATATTCTTTAAATATTTTAATCGATTTCAATTTTAGTTAAAATAAGGTTTTATATTTAATATTTTACCTTTTCACTGAAATCATCCATAAAAATGCGATTTAAAATTTGTATTGAAGCTCTACTCGTTTAAATGTCGTTTTAAAACAGAATAAACATTAACTAGGTGAAAAAAAGTGAGGTGTTTTTGGTAAAAAAAAAAAATCAAACAAAAAACGATGTCCAGGTTAGTGCTTGCGCCGCAGCAGCAACAGTAACAGCAACAGAAGAAAAGGTAACATCCAAGGCGGTCTGACATAGACATTCGCCCGAAAGAAACGGAACGGAGCGGTGTGGAGCTTTTACCTCCACCAAGCCGACCATACCGTTCGTAGGTACCGGGACGGTCCCGTCGCAGTCAGTTCGGTTTTGAATATGTTGTGATACGTTCCTATCTTACAGCCGAACGCGCGTCTCTCCGTCGTGACATGTGCGTCTTCGTCGACAACAATCGAACAAAATCATCGCTCAGGACTAATCGATCAGTGCCAATTTTCAGTGTGATGCACATTTTTTCCCTAGATAGTTTATCGTAGTTCAATTCAAAGTGGATATGTACGCTTATGCTGGGGGCGGCCCCCCACACTACGCGCCGCCCCCAACATATTTGCAACCGCATCCTTCGGCACCGCCGGCCACCATCGGTCACCACGTGCAACTGCAGCCTCCCGGGTCCGGCGGATCCATGCCGCCTCCGACCGCTCACTATCCCAAAAAAAGAAGGTATACTTGTTGATTTTTTTTTTCAAACTAGACGTCGCGACGCCTCGCACGTGTTTATATTAATTAACATACACTCAATACCACACAAATTTTCGATGATTTTCAATCGCAAATAACTTTTTTATTTGTTTTCGGATTTAAACAAATATTAAAGAATATTGTAGATACATTAATGGAGAATCGCTCAAATTTTAAAAATTACTAAAAAATTTACGTACGTTTATAATATACAGGTTTAAACAAAAAGATGTTTTTTACCATAAGTTTAAGACACTCTGTATACAGAGTGTCTTAAACTCTATAGAGTGGCAAAACCGTATATTGTTCTAAATTAAGTTTTAATTATCAAGTCACATCTATTTTTAACAGTTTTGTTTTTGGTTCACCTCGATATATTTATTTTTGTGGAAAATATGTATTGTTTTAAAAAACATTGCAATTTCCAATATTTTTCCTGTAAAAAGAACTAAGGTTGCTATGGTCCATCCATAGCCTATGGAGGATGACAGTGACA